CTGCAGCTCAAGAAGAATTTAAGGCACAGATGTCGGTAAGAAAGAGGAGTTTATTAAGAGAGAGGGTAGAGCAGAGCTCCCAAGCAGAGAATGAGTCCTGAGTGGGTTGCCGATGAGGGTCAGAGGGGTCAGAGGGGCTTTGTCCATGCTTGTTCCCAGGTGGTACATGTGTTCCCCATGTGGTGTGGTTGTTGGCATGGGTCCGGTTATTTTTCCTAATTTCGGAGTGAGTACAATGGTCAGAAGACTCTCTTTGCCTAAAAGCTTTGGGCCATAAAAGACCATTACCTTCTTCTTGGAACGTGGTGGGATGAGGAAGAAGTCTTTGTCTTAGGCCTATCATTAAGACATTGCTCCAATTGGTCTCTGAGCAAACAGTTCAGGGACTGCTGTGTTATTGTGTCTTCATCTAAAAACTTAGCCATTTTGTGATTTCATCTCAGCCCTATGTGCTAACTATATTCTTAGGGTTCCTGTTACCTCACTTGGGTTTTTATAAGGCTTTTAACAGTGGTTAATAGTGGTTAATGGTCACACGGAGTCATATCATTTAGGCTCATGGTATGGGTGCCCTTGGGCACTAACTGTGGCCTGTACTGGCTAGTCTTGACTTTTTTTGGGTGAAGATTATCTTTTGGCCCCAAGCATGGTCTTCCTGGAGTGGACCAATTTTGGGGGGATAATTTTCTGTGCATTTAAGCTCATTGGCCTATAATTTCCGTTAGGTCTGAACACTTAAAATTCCAAACTTAAACGTTGTCCTGTCTTGAGTTTTTGCCTCTTATTTTTTTTATTTCAAAAGTACAGTATAGATATGGGCCAGAGGGACAGAGGGCAGGAAGGAAAGTTATTTTTCCATCAGGTGATAGTGGGCTGACTGGTTTTGGGTAGACTGCTTGGTTTCAGGGTCTCCCTGAGTCTCACTCAGTACTCCATCTTGACTCCCCTATTTCCCTGTCTCGCCTGAATAGTCTCTGCATGGGTAATGCCATTAACTCTTTTGAGCAACTGATTCTTATTAGCAAATGATATTAATAGAAGGGGAACAAGGAGGGTAGGAATAACCCAGGGAATTTTCTAGGATGGTTCCTCATACTGCTATACTAGACTCTAATTGTTAATGACTATCTCTAGCAGTTTAACACGGGCAAGACCACAGGGCTCAGAACATCTATCAGTGAAGTTTGTGACACCCTACCAGGCAAAACAACTTCAAGGTATTGAGATCATTGCTCAGAACAAATGAAATATGTAGCGAATAAAATCAACCATTGCCTTTGACAAGCTGCATATTTGAGAACTTTATGAACCACCAGTGTTTTTCTTCTTTTCATACATTTTTCCACACTATTCTACTTATGATGCCTTTATGGCTGTTACCTTAATGAGTTCATTTTTATTAAATACAAATAGTAATTTTTTGAGAAGTTTTTTGCTATAGGGCACGTGTGCTCACCAGAAAGACAGAGACAGAGAGATAGAAGGCGAAAAATCACCCCCCAGGGGAGATGGCCATGCTGCAATCCCTTTTCCTCCATTCTCCTCTCGGAATCTTGGGCACGCATGCACATGCACCCAGCCTGAGTTTAAGCCACTGGGTCTAGGACTCGAACTGCGGTCGACTACATGGGAGTCCAGCAACATAGCCGTTACACTAACTGCTGATCCCACAAATAGTAATTTTTGCCTCATTTAAAATAGTTCTTATTTTGACATGTTAAGGGACAAAGAGAAATTACTAACTTAATACATGACACCTGTATATACAACTTTTAAGTGATTAAAATTACAAAGTGAGTCTAATTTATATTCAGCCAATCATTATGCCTTGATGAATTAGAAGGCATTTATTGAGCTTTACATGTCATGTTCATGATAGTCTATTATGAATTACTCTTGACAAAATACAACTAAGAAAGAAACAGAAAGAGTTTTGAGTCAATGACATCTTTTAAAAAATTTTTTTCCTTTTACTATTTTTTTTCATTTCATTTTCTTCTATAAATTCAGTCACATTATTATTTGTCTTACAAAATGGATATTTAAACAGGTGAACATTTCTCCCTAGTACTGTTGATAAAACTACGAAATATCTTCAACAGGTAATACCACACCTCTTTGTGCCATTAATGCTTGGCCTCCCTGTCCCTCCCCCAAATGTCCTTCATCAGACCCTCCTCTTTCACACACACACTGTATCTGGTATTTACATCTATATACAGCGTTTCTATATCCTTTAGACAATTAGTTTCAGACATAGAGTGCAGACACTCCGTATATATTAAGTGGGGACATACAATGCCTCTCCTTCATAGCATGGCTTGCTTCACTCAGCAGTAAGTCTTCCATA